CTATTAATTTTATCAGATGTCATCAGTTCATACCGTTTTTGACTTGTATACATAGAAGCAGACAAAGAAAGAAGAACAAACTCTTGAATTTTGCATCTTCCAAGCAAGTTGTGTATAAACTCGATATTCTTGTTTTCTGCTGACTTTGCCATTGTGGCCAGCTGCGCCATCATTCTAATCAAGACTTCTACACTTTTGACTTGGACATCTCTGTTGCCAAGCACATCTCTGTGGGTTACCTTCAAGTAACATGGATAGTAAGAGCGCAGAAAACTCAAACAGAGGTAAGTCAGCAATTCTATTAATAAAGAATGGGGACACATGGTTGGTGACTGAGTCTGAAGCTTACCATAAAAGCTCTGTCCCACAAGAGTTTCCTGGTGCCGGGCTAGAAGATTATAGATGAGATTTAAGTGAGCTGTAGAGCTTGTATCCATGCTAGTACTGGCTACAGCTTCAATAAATTCCTTAGGGTTTGTTTTGAGTACTGCCTCTAGTACAGAAAAAGCATACAAAACCCTCTTGGAATCGTAAGGCTGAAAATACAAGAGAATGTGTTTAAACAGAGCCTCTATCATCTCTTGTTTTTCTTTCTGCCGCTTGAGCAGCCTAGAAGTTGTAATTGCTTGGAGTTCCAAGTCCACCTCCTCATCACTTGATAGTGACTCCGATGCTTGAGTTTTCTCAGAGTCTGCACGCACAAGATTTAACATAGGACTGGATTTGGAGCCATGAAGAGGGAAAGTATTAGATGAACTAACATTCTTCATGTTTTCTCTGCAGTCCATTGTAGCTCTACAGTTCTCCTCATTGCTCATTTCCTGTGGATCCAGAGAAGTTGAAAAAGATGATGTATTTTCACTATCATTAGGTCCTGTGCTGGTATCTGCCGATTCTGTGTGTTCACTGTTATCATGATCACCACTGGGATCCTGTGGAGGTTCTGTACAGTGGGATGGTTCATTTTCAGACCGTCCATTTTTTAGCTGAGATGTCTCTGGATCGATTTCCACTTCAGCCCAAATAGCTTCCCTGTCCATGGTTGTAAATTGGCTCAGTGGTATGTTTTCTTCAGAACTGCTTTCATGTAGCTCAGAGGCTCCAAATGACTCTTTGAAAGAGGCACTTTTCTTGCTAAACCAATGATGTAAGTCTTCTGAAAAAAATATGAAGATTTCAAAAAGCCGTGTTTATTATTGCAGTTAATACATTCAATAGCCTTTAGGCTGAAAGACAAACTTAAGAGAAAATGTAATGGTGATCAAGTAACTGACTTTACATTACAGTTAAAAATCTTATTTATGCCAAGGAAATAATTTCATTGAGCAGTTATGTTTTATGATGGAATTGTACAAGTCAGAGATACCATAAACCTTCTCAGACTGTAAACCCTTTGGGACAACGACCATGTCTACTTCTATAATTGCACAGCAGCTAGCACAAGAGACTTCCTTTGGATGCTACTATAATGTAAATAGCGAGAATGATGATTGGCAAGTCAATTAGATAGCAAACAAGGTAGCAAAACTGTTATGCAAGCAGATAGCTGGATTAAAAAAGCAATTCAACTATTAGGAGGTTTAGAGCTTCTTTTGCTGAAATGCTGACCCAAAATAAGATACTAATGGGCGTTATACCTTTAAAAAGATATGACCTACTCCATAATTGTGTTTAAGCATTATTACAGGTGTAACTGAGAAGAGTGATATATGCAGCTGGCATTGCTGCTTATTAGAAGACACCTCAAACTGACGAGTATGACACCAAAGGTCAAAGACTGGCTTAAAATGGAGTCCAATGGAGTAATGTGACTAACTGTTAATTTACTTCACTCAAACGGTTACATTTTCAGTCTGAGAGCAGCTTTACCTGCTGAATTCTTCTGTTTGATGCAATGGATGGATGTGCGCTGTGTCTTTGGATGAAGAAGCAGCAGTAGTACTGGCTCAAGAATTCGTGCAACATCATTAAGCGAGAGAGCACGTATCAGCCAACCCTGTGCTGCAGCACCAATTGCACCATCTGAACAATTTAGACTGTCCAGTACCACAAACAGAGATCTGAATGGAGAAATTGCAAAGGAGAAGTAAAATTGCAAGCCCTCATTCACAACACATTTTAAGACTCCACTCCTGCAAATACTTGCCCATGTTTTAGCTTTACTCCTGATAGTAATTCCAATGCCCAGAAGTTGTGTCACTGAGTTCAAAGTCGAGCTCATGTGTTTGCAGGAGCAAGGCAAAACATACTATATGTGTGTATATTGCACACACGCTACCTGCAATTAGAGAATGTTTTTATAATATCCTCTCCTACTTCATAAGGGTTGAAATTTTTGGCTCAATCTATCAGACTGAGGAGCACGATGAGTAACATACCACCCTTGGATTACTTTAACAATATTTTGAATGTAGCTGCTTTTGCCGGGCCCTTTTATCCTTTTCTAGGGAAATGCCCCACCTTCTTGATGTAGGAAGCCACTCCCATTAGAAGGTGGGGCCTCAGCTGTTCACTCTTTGCTGACAACATGGAAAGCAACTCCCAGCAGAGACTTCAAACTCCTACTCCCCTTGGAACACCCTCCAAACAAACGAACAAAAAAAAAAAAAAAAAAAAAAAAAAAAAAAAAAAAAAAAAAAA